CACCTATTACCCTCCACTCCCTGTCCTGATTTTTTCACATTTGCTATCTGGTCACTAGTCTAAGCTAGCTGGTTACTTTTGCATGGGGATGAGGTAGCAAACAACTGAACCAGCTGCTGAATGATAGCTATGAGGGGGTGCCTGAGTCCAGCTGGTGGTTTGTTGCGTGGCAGTGGGGTTAGGCGGTATGCTATTTGGGTTCAAGGGGGAAGTCACAGCACTCACAAGGCTCGTGCAGCATAGCCTTGCACCATGCAAAAGCTGCTGCGGCAGGAAAGTAGCACTGAAGCAAAAGCAGCTGCCTCCACCTCGTGCATTGCTGCTGGGGGCTAAATCCACTGGCACCAGTCTGAAGTGATTTTACACTGCTAACTGGATGCCAATACATGCATTTCTGCTGTGCTGTTTCATTGCAAATAAAGGATATTTTCATTAAAATAATTCAGTCAGTGACTAATGGTAATTTATTCTGAATGTGTGACTTTTGCCTGTTATCGTGCCCAAGTTTTAGCTTTGCCCTGATAAACCACTCCCGAAAACTCAGCATTCAGAATGTCCACAGGTTTAACTGCCTGGGTGCGGAAAGCATTTGGCCCAAACTACTGAGAGGTATTTGGTGTCCATCACCATTCTGATCTGTATCATACTAATGGCACTTCTAGTAGGTAAAAGTGCAAGAAGAATATATTGGAAGACTTCAGAGACCATAATAAACATTTTAAAACACCAAACAGCTTCCTTTTTAGTAGATCTTGGTGAGCAGCTGGAGAGTAAACTGCTGTTTACTTCAGTTCTGAGTTGTAAAACTACCACCACCAGAGCTGAATTGGGCTCCTAAATTTCCTTTGACAGAGGCAGAGCACAGAGGCCATTTGTGCAGTTAGCAGTTGTATTTAAGTGCAGGTAATTTGGGCTTCTACAACACAAGCTATTCCAGAAGACCAATTGTTACATGACACATAAAGTCTTGTGAATGCCATCCTATCTAACAGGTAGGCAGGAATTGCTCCGGGCCTCCCTAGGAAGGCAGCAGGTCAAACAGCAAGCCAGCTCAAGCGCTTCCCTCCACAGCTCTGTACAGATTAATTTTATTTGATTGGATTTGTTGGTTTTTCTTTTCCATGTTGTATTTGCCATATCTTGTGCTATTGTCACATTCCCAGGGTTAGCTAGCTAGCACGGCAGTTCTTTTACAATGCTAAAGGCTAGAGCAGATTTAATTCTCCAGCTGTGAGGCTGGCCTTCAAAGAGAATCTGACCTCTCTCAAGGAAGACAGGATAACCTGAGATAAGGAACATAAACAGATGCTTCACTCTTGCTTTCAGTGAAAACAAAACCATCTGGCAAATACTGAAATCTTGTATATTAAGTATTTCTCCAGACACTTTGGCCTTTTTGAGTCCCCTCTGGAAAGGCCCCAGGGAAAATGGAAAGTGAACAGGCTGCCCCATGTAATGGCCTTTCAGGATACCTGGAGTGGAATCTTTATCTCACAGCCTCTGCTTTTTAAAATGCTTGCATGTTAAAGAGGCCAAACCATACAGCTCTGCCATCTCCTCTACAATAGAGTCATTAGGCTATTTGAACACCTTAAAGGTGACCTAAAGAGGCAAGCTTGGGTTTGTGACCTTTTTTGCTTAAATGTAAACAGCCAATTAGGAGCAGCCCTGATTCAGCAATCATTGTAGCTGCATTGGTGCACTGCTGGCCAAAGGTGTGCATCAGCTGAACTAATTAACCAGGTAACTCAAGTACTGCCAGCCCTGATTTTCCCTTGTCTATAGGGCTTGGCTACACTTGCAGATGTAGAGTGCTGGGTGTCGAACCAGCCTTCGGAGACAGCAGCAGGGAAAATACTGCCGTGTGTTTATACTGTCAGCTGCAAGCGCAGTGGTGTGGCCACATTAGCAGCTCTTGTAATGCCACAGAGAGCAATGCATTGTGGTAGTTATCCCAGTGTGCAAGTGGTTGCAGTGTGCTTTTCAAATGGGGGTGGGGGAGTGGAGTGTGACAGGGAATGTGTTGTGTGTATGTGGCAGGAGAAACTGTGTTTCTGTGGGGGCAGAGACTGTGTCAGCATGCTGTCTTATAAGTTCAGACAGCAGCAGACCCCCCCGCCCCCGCCTCTCTCTCTCACTCACTCATTCACACACACACCCCTCAGCAGCAGCAGCATTCCACAGTAATGGTTTGCTTTGTGTCCAGGAGCAGATAAGCATGCCGGCTGTCAGAAAGGGGATATCCACATGCCTGAAGCCGAGTTCAAAACAATGACCAGAGTGACCACTTGACTTCAGGGGATTATGGGACGTTTCCGGAGGCCAATCACAGCGCAGTAATGCAACACCCGGGCGTTTCAGCCAGGGCACAGCAAGCTTTATCCTTCTCGTGGAGGAGGATTACTAGGAGTGCTCCAGCTGCAGACTTCAGGCGCTCTAAGTGCCTTGCCAGTGTGGACACCTAAGGAGTTAGGGCGCCCAGGGCTGATTTAATGCACTCTAACTTGCAAGTGTAGCCAAGCCCTATGCTTAGGGTCAGCACCAGAGTAGCAACACAAACAAAGGAGACCTGAAGATTTCTTTTTTCAAAAGATAAGATTCCTTCCCTGTCCCCCTTTAGAAATATCAGAAAAGTCAGGACATGTTTTCCTGGTGTGCAAGAGGTCTTTCTCAGAGGGCCTAGAGAGGTGGCCTAGGAGCCCTCTCAATCCTTAACTGCAAGATCAGGGTGCTGAAACTGTAATAGAATAACTCTCCTTCCATCTCAGGCCTTTGAGTTAAACAAAAGCAAACCCAAAGCAAAGAGGGCTTAGCCTGACTAACTATCCTTTCCCCTCTCAGTTAATCAGAGTTTAGTTCCATGGTATCTGTGAGATCTTAAACCTGGTAGTTTGCCAATCCTGCATAAGCCTTTGTCTACACACACAACAGAAATTAGTATTTGTGTCACAGCACCTGCCCCCAACAGTGCAGCAGCACCAGTGTAACAAAGCTGTAAGTGTCAGTATAGACAGGACTCAGATGTTTTTTTCTACCAGATGATGAAAACCAACCGATTGTTAGAGTCCTTTCTACAGTAGCACCTTAATGCTGCGGAAGCTGCATCAATGCCAGCTCTTTTGTAAGATGGACACTACATTTACTAGTGTAGCTGCACCCATTGAGTCTTTCACAAAGGTGAAAGTAAGCCGGTATGCCCCGGTACAGCGTACCGGGGCAGATCGGCTTCCCCTGGTGGCAATTTAAAGGGCCTGGGGCTCCCAGCAGCGGCTGGAGCCCTGGGACCTTTAAATTGCCCAGAGCCCTGCTGCTGGAGCCCTGGGGAAGTGGCAGCGGACTCTGGCAGCTATTTAAAGGGTCCGGGGCTGCGGCAGCCATTACCAGCCCGGCCCTTAAAATAGTCGCTGGAGCCCCGCCACTGCCTCCCCAGGGCTCCGGCAGGCTCCGGGGACAATTTAAAGGGCCCAGGGCAGTAGCGGCTACCGGAGGGCTATCCTGGGGGTGGCGATTTAAAGGGCCAGAGGCTTGGTGGCTGCTACCGCCCCGGGCCCTTTAATTTGCCTCCAGAGCACCGCCACCACTACCCCAGGGCTCTGGCAGCAGGGCTCTGGGGATGATTTAAAGGGCCCGGGGTGGTAGCAGCAGCCGGAGCCCTGGGCCCTTTAAATCACTGCCCGAGCCTCCAGCTGCTGCTGCTACCCCAGGGCTCCTGCAATGTGGCTGGGGTAGTGATTTAAAGGGCTCGGGGCTCCCACTGCCGCTACCCTCCGG